TCAACTACAAAAATAAATCTCAAAATGATATTTCACATTCAGTGTCTTTAATTACTATTGCATTTAAATCATACCTTGCATTCAGTGTCTTCATATTCTATGAGGGAATGGAAACGTTGAGTTGTTTGACCAACATATCTTGAAACATTTCCATTCGAGACTCCATAAAACCAACACGACCCTTAAGTTCACTGTTTTCCTCTTGGATTGCACCAACACGACCCTTAAGTTCATTGTTTTCCTCTTGTATTGTTTCCATGCGATTTGCCATAAGCTGATTTTGTTGTTTAGCAGAATTCAGTTCAGCTTGAAGTTCTTCTCTACTGGGTTGTGACCTTGTTATATCTTTGAGCTTTACTCCTCCTCCATAACCGACAACCCGATCTCGAGACTTGGATTTAAAAACCATTTGTGCTACCTATATATGGATATGCAGGATATTATACCACTAAGCCACCCATTGCAAATAACTCAACATTTCAGAAAAAAATATGAATCATAATAATTGATTTAATATGCTTGCACTTCAAATCACTCAAAAAACAGTAATTGCAACCTTGTGAAAGCATTGGTATGCAAAAACAAAAGTGAGAAAAGTAACCTGAACATTGGAAAGTGATGGATCTTTGTCCGTTATTTCTCGAATTTCCTCCTACAATGTAGAACCATAACATTTCAATTAACAACCTATAAATGTAGGCTCACAAAACATAACCATTGAAACAATAAATTGAACTAAAACCACAAAAATTCTTCTTTTGAAGATCTCATTTTGGGCCTTATATACACCAACACCAATCAGATAATAAAAAATGGAGTGGTTTAAAAAATAGGCAAACACATTCGATAGAGCAGACATACATGTTTTTGTATTGTCTCCACATTTGGAAGCTTATCCCCTTTCTTGCGAGTCGTATAGAAGACATCAACTAAACTTGGATCATTCCCTTCATTGGCACCCTTCAATAATAGAACAAGTGTGAGCAGTCATATAACATATTCAAAAACAAATTTCCTAATGCAAAAAAAATTCAGGAATTAAACTTTCTTACCAAGTCATCCCAGATAACTTGCCTAAAAGGTTTGCTCCCTGTCCGGTGCATTAACTCATTAGCATAGCACCCTCTATTAGCCGAGTTTGTAGCACTTCTTTTCTGAAATGTAGAATTTTAGTTACTGCATATAAACACAATAAAATATATTTTTCAATCTTTTTAATAGAGCTAACCTGAAACTTAGGATTGGAATATATCTCCCTTATAAGCCATCTCCACTCATGCTTGTCAAGTCCAGTAGGCGGATCACGCATGTATGCAGTTTTTAAGGTTATTCCAATATTGGTCACATTATACCGCAACAAATCTGCCCTCCAATTTGTCCACAACTCTTTCATATGTGAAAGAGTGTGCTGTTTGTAAACTTCAATGTTTGCATTACTAAAGACATCCTAAAGTAAGAAAAAGAATTCAGAGAAAAATATCAACATAGAATTAGTAAACCAGTAGGTTAATACATACTCTTGTCATTAATAAGACTATTAAACCTATTGGAAATTTTATTACCGTGACAGCACTCCACATGTGTTCTTTTTCTTTTTCTCCGATATCATTCCATTTGTGAACTCTCACGGGACACATATTTGTATCTCGCACTATAATCCCCAAATGCCTTGCCCACACTTCATGATTCTTACCGACAGATCGATTGTTATAAAAAGTGACTTCAAGTTTCTCACCAGGTTTAAGCCTTGCTATTTCCTTGCATTTGTTTCTTCCCCTCTTTTTTTGAATCAAAATTTTCTCCTTATTGGTAAAAGAGCTACCACCTTTAGCTAAATAAAAAAATATGATCAATTCAAACTACTAAATGGTAAAATGTAAAAAAAAAATGTACCAAAACTAGTTAAAAGTTATTATTTTACCTTTTGGATCTTCTACGGCTTCTGGATCTACCTCAATTTCAGTTTCACTAACATCGAGAAGAATGTGTGTTCCTCTATTTTTTTCGTTCACATTTTTCCTCTTAGATTTATATGTGCCACCCCCTTCAACAAATATAAGAAACAATTGTAACAGCCTTCAAAATCAAATATATGTTTCTTTATCTTGGAACTCAAAAGAAGAAAACAAACCCTATACCACAAGAGGTTTTTCAAATTGATTCCCGCTCACAAAACCTTGTATTCATCAGTAAATTAATTACGCTCTATCGCCCCAGCATGGTAAAAAAATACATGACATAGTCACATCGAAATCCCTAATGATTCATATATTACATGCACATAATAACACATCACGTAAACCTTAAGCAACATGACAATATTTTCACAACTAAAAACGTAAAACTAACATAATTCAAAAAAAATAATGCTATTATCGAATGCTAAACCTTTACCATTTGGTTCTGGAAAAAATTGATTGGTCTCCATTTCAGTTTCACTAACATCTTCAAGAATGCTTTCCGCCATAGCTTTCATTTTAGTGATACAAGATGCACCTTCTATCAACATGAAATATAATAAAAAACTAAATGAAAACAATAAACGTAAAACAATCATTACAAGATTGAACATTTACCATTTGCATCTTGTAAAAATCCCTGATCTACCTCCATTTCAGAGTCGCTAACATCATCAAAAATGGTTCTTCTTCTCCTTTTCTCACCTTCAGTGTTCTTCTTAAAAGTAAATGAGCCGCATCCTTCAACCATAACAAATAAAATTTGATTTTAAGTGTTAAATGGTTAAATGCAAAAAATATTAAATGATTAAAGTATTAAATGATTAAAGTACAAATGATTAAAGTATTGAATGATTAAGCAATACATAAAAAATTCTTTCATTTGAGGACAAACCTTGACCATTTGGATCTCCTAAAAAACATGGATGTAACCCCATTTCATTGTCACTATCTTCATCAAGATCACTTCTTCCTCTCTGTTTTTCAACCATGTTGTTCTTCTTAAGACTAAACGACCCACATCCTTCAACAATATAATGATAGATAAAAATTGATTTTGAAATATTAATTGATAAAAACTAGAAATTAAAAAAAAACTACTTAATGACAAACCTTGACCATTTGAATCTTCAGGAATCATAACATCATCAAGAATACTTCTTCCTCTCTTATTTTCAGCCCCTGTATTCTTTTTAGAAGCAAACGAGCCACATCTTCCAACTAAGGGACAAGATACTAGAAAGTATTACATGCCAAAAGAAAAATAATCCAAGACATTAGAATATATTTAGTAAATGCCAAACCTTTTCCATCTAGATCTCCTAGTACTTCCGGGCACACATTCTGATCATAATCATTAACATCATCAAGAACATTTCTTCCTCTCTTTTTTTCAACCATGTTGTTCTTCTTAACATTAAACGAGCCACATCCTTCAACTATAATAAATAAAAATTGATTTTGAAATATTAATTGATAAAAACTAGAAATTAAAAAAAACTACTTAATGACAAACCTTGACCATTTGAATCTTCAGGAATCATAACATCATCAAGAATACTTCTTCCTCTCTTATTTTCAGCCCCTGTATTCTTTTTAGAAGCAAACGAGCCACATCTTCCAACTAAGGGACAAGATACTAGAAAGTATTACATGCCAAAAGAAAAATAATCCAAGACATTAGAATATATTTAGTAAATGCCAAACCTTTTCCATCTAGATCTCCTAGTACTTCCGGGCACACATTCTGATCATAATCATTAACATCATCAAGAACATTTCTTCCTCTCTTTTTTTCAACCATGTTGTTCTTCTTAACATTAAACGAGCCACATCCTTCAACTATAATAAATAAAAATTGATTTTGAAATATTAATTGATAAAAACTAGAAATTAAAAAAAAAAACAGCTACATAATGACAAACCTTGACCATTTGAATCTCCAGGAATCATAACATCATCAAGAATACTTCTTCCTCTCTTATTTTCAGCCCATGTATTCTTTTTAGAGGCAAATGAGCCACATCTTCCAACTAAGAGACAAGATAGTAGAAAGTATTAGATGCCAAAAGAAAAATAATGCAAAACATTAGAAAATTTAGTAAATTCCAAACCTTTTTCATTTGGGTCTCCTGGTACTTCTGGGTAATCATTCAGTTCATAATCATTAACATCATCAAAAATGTTATCTCCTTCAGGAGGTAAAGATTTCATGTTTTTGCCACTTGATTGAGGAAGAATCCGTAATGGATCAAAAACAGCACCACCAGAATGATCCCTTGTGGATACATCTTTGGAATGACCACTAGTCCCAGTAAATGAGTTTGCTCCAATCTGACCTTTAGAAGTAGAAAACAGACCGCTTATCTTTTTCCCACATCCCTTGGCTAACACTTGAGGTGGTACATAAGACCTTTTAGATCTTGGCATAGAAGGTTTGTGCGTAATATCACTAGGACGGAACATTTTCCTGTATGTTAGTAAAAGCATTATTATCTCAATTAAGAAGTTCATTGTAACTTCATTCCGTGCAATGTTTCAATTTCTTGCTTTCACATGACACAGAACAACATATATGAATCAAGTAGAAGAAGGCAGAGGGTTCCTGATAAACTTACTAGACTGTAGTAATATAAGTCATAGATAAAAAAGAAATTTTAACCAATCTTAAGCATGTAATTACCGGAAACAATATAAAAAAACAGTAGAAAGCAAGAGTATCTAGAACTAGGAGTAAAAAATGGACTATTCCTCTCTTCTCCTCTTTTGAACTCTTTGTTCATCTCTTCTCTTTCGGATATCTTCCACAATAATTGGATCCATACCATCTCTACTTTTGCAAATTTCAGCACTTGCGGTTGTTGAGGATGATGCAACATACATAGGTTGGGACAATTCTGTAAGTTCATATACATCACTTTTGTTGTTTCCAACATCGTGATCATCATCTGAAATGTCACAAAATATGCGAGGTTGATTCTTGACCACAAGTATCCAACCTTTACTAACATTATCAGTAACATAGAAAGCTTGTCTCGCTTGACTAGCCAAGATAAATGGCTCATTCGTCTTTAATTGCTTACTGGAATTCAAACTTATAAATCCATACTGATCTGTTTTAATTCCTCTAACTCTATCATGTACATCCCACCATTTGCATCGAAATAGTACGATTCGGTTCCCTCCAAGATATTGCAGCTCAATAATTTCGGTTACCACTCCATAATAATCAATATCTTCATCTCCATTCCCTGTGTTTCCTGTCACAACTACCCCACTATTTTGTGTCCTCAAAGTCTTCTCACGACTTTCAGTATGAAAGCTATAGCCATTAACTATATAACCACTAAAAGATGTCATGTATTGTTTTGGCCCACGTGACAGTGCAAGCAAGTTGATCATTTCATTGCCATTAGCATTCTCACACAGATTTGTAACCTACCAAAGAGAGTTAATAATATAAGAATTTTACATTTTCATACTATAATCCTTATTACAATTTAATATACTTTTGCTTACTTCATTCTTGAACCATTCTGAAAATTTCTTCCACCAATCCTCTTCCGAGTTTCCAGGCTCGTTTAGAGCATGACATTCTGCGTATTCTCTATAAAATAATATAAAATAAAATACTGGAATAATATTTAATTTGTAGAAATAAAGTGAACATATTGAATCTCAATTACTCACTTGAGAAAAGGTTGAACCTCATCACAGTTCTTCAATATATAAACGTGGGCTTGATCCAACTCACGCTTTCCAAGAGATGCAATAGTAGGACATCCTAAACCACGACCGGGGTGATTAAAAATGGACAGGTCTTCATCACAACCATTTTCATTTTCATAATTTCGGTCAAGACGATTAAATCTTGTCTGTACTGTATGCATATACCTTGAACACATAGTCATACACTCATCAACTAAATAGCCCTCTGCTATTGAAGCCTCTGGACGAGCCCTATTTCGAGCATAAGATTTGAGCTTATACATATATTGTTCAAAAGAGTACATCCACCTGAATGGAACTGGCCCTCCAATTCTAGCTTCCCTGGCTAAATGAATAGGTAAGTGAATCATGACATCAAAGAATGATGGAGGAAATATTTTCTCTAATTTGCATAGAGTGACAGGAATTTGTAACTCCAGTTGCTCCAGATCACTAACATTAACGACTTTAGCACATAATGTACTAAAGAACATTGATAGTTCAATTAACGCTTCACGTACAAGAGGAGTGAGAAGGCCACGTATTGCAAAAGGAAGAAGATGCTCGAGTATGACGTGACAATCATGGCTCTTCAAACCCGAAATTTTAGCATCCTTCGTGTTGACACAATAAGAGATATTTGATGAAAAACCATCAGGAACTTTAAGGCCTTTCAAAAACTCACAGAAAGTTCGTTTTTCAGAAGGGGACAAAGTATATGGAGCTGGAGGCATCTTCACCTTGTCTCCTTCTTTGATGAGGTGAAGTGTAGACCTCAACCCCATAGCTTCAAGATCAAGCCGTGATTTTATAGTGTCTTTGGTCTTTCCTTGTAGGTTCATAATTGTCCCAAGAACACTATCACATATGTTCTTCTCAATGTGCATCACGTCTAAATTGTGATGTAACAAATGTGTCTTCCAATATGGAAGCTCAAAAAAAATACTTTTTTTATTCCAATTGTCCCCTCTAACCTCATGAGATATTTTTGTCTTCACGCTTGGATCTTTAGACAATATGATACTCTCAAGATCTTTCAACTTGTGAAGAATATCGTCAATTGCAGAAGGTTGTGCAGGTACACCTCGCTCAACTTCTCCATCGAATGATTCCTTATCCCTTCTCCATCTATGATTCTTAGGCAAGTAGCGTCGATGACCCATGAAGCATTCCTTTCCGCCATTACATAACCTCTTTGAATGTGTATCTGTTAGACAACACGGGCATGCTAACTTACCCTTTGTGCTCCATCCGGATAACATCCCATAAGCTGGAAAGTCATTAATAGTCCACATCAAAACTGCGCGCATCTGAAAATGATGTCGGGATGCTGCGTCAAAGGTCTCAACACCAGTTTCCCACAAATCCTTTAATTCATCAATTAAAGGTTGCAAGTATATGTCAATGGAATCACCAGGACCTCTTGGGCCAGGAATAAGCATTGATAGAATCAAATTTGATTGCTTCATACAGAGATGAGGGGGTAAATTATATGGAACCAATATCACTGGCCAAATACTATGTGATGTTTTTGAATTTGCAAAGGGTTGAAAACCATCACTTGAAAGCCCAAGCCTCACATTTCGAGACTCTGATGCAAAGTCAGGGTGGTGTTTGTCAAATGATTGCCAACCAGATCCATCAACAGGATGTCTCATCGTACCATCTCTCCTCATTTTGTTATGATGCCACCTCATTAAAGGAGCAGTCTTCGAACACATAAATAACCTTTGCAGCCTTGGTTTTAATGGAAAGTATCGTAGTGTCTTCAATGGTATTTTTATACCATTTCTGTTGAACTTCTCTTCCCCATTGTGTTTATTAGATTTCCATC